TTGAGAACTGAACTGTTCCAGATGGGAGAAGTTCGAGAAACGAGGTTTGACTGTACTAAACAGAAGACTATAAATATCCCTTTTACATTTTAGGATCTATTTTGTTTGAAAAGATTCAAGTTTCTTTCAATAAAGTTGAGATGGAAAAATATTCGTTCTTTGTAATCTTTACCAGATGTTGTTTATACTACAAGCAACTTTTTTCAGTACTCCATAATACAATTATTGTTTAATTAGTGATAAATCTGTCATTTCTAGGCTTAAAGAAAAACCCAAAGAAGTTAACAAGTACCAAATGTACTTTTGTGTTTCAAATTTACCCGTGTTCTCTCAGAGCATTCAGACACAGGCATGCGTTCAGGAGGCTCAACAAAACCCCTCAAGTCTGAAGTTCCTCTTCCGGCCTGGCCCAGCGGCCTCTGCCCAGTCAGCTGGGGCAGCCTGAGGGGTCAGACAGCTCCGCTGCCCCCTGCTGCTTCTCAGCTGGCATCTTAGTGGCAATGACCTCCCAGGTCGACCTCTGCCCTGTTCTTATTATTTGTCTTTTAATTTTTCTCTCTCCCTTCATCTCTGGTTGAAAAGTCCTCCATCCCCAACAGTGAAAACAGAATTCGCAATCTGGGCCTTTTTCTTCACAGAAACAATGCTGGGGGATCTGGTGCCCCCCTGAGGTGGACACTGGGAAGTGCAACTGCTGTGGGAGAAGCAGACATAAGCACAGGCCACCACTGCCCTTCCCTGTTGGACCGCTGCTAAATTATCTACTTCAGCATTTCTTAAATCACATGCATCGCATTAAAGAGGAAATGTTTAAAAGACTGCTAATGGAAAAGCAGGAAAAGAAAACCCTAGAGCATTAGTAAGAGTTACTCAAGCACAGACAACTGACATAACCCACGATGTGGAGCTAAATTCAACATGGTCTTTTATTAAAGGGGAATTGTGCTTGGAATTTTGTGTAAAGGGAGTTCTTTTTCTTCTGAAGCGGCTCCCTGGAGAGCGAAGACAAGAAGGTATACCACCTCACATCAAGGCGACATATTCTTTTTATTTCTTAAGCTCTTATTCGATGAAGAAGTAATTCATACCCACCCCAGTTTAATCGAGACATTCTTGGGACAAAGAACCAATTTTAATTAGTTGTGAAGACTTTCAGGTAGGATAGAATATGAAGACTGTTTTTTTGTGAGTATTATTTAATTTAAAATCTGAGTAAACAAAAACAAAAACCACCCCTGCTTCCTTTCCCCTCTCTACTCTCCTCAGACCCACACTCTGGTGGGCGAGTCTGTCCTGGGGAGGTGCGGCAGGTGGTGTGTGAGGCCTCATGGAAACCAGGTCCCTCTCGGACTTAGTGTGCAGCAGGGCAGCTAAGCACAGTGGCCCCTGCTACTGAGCCAGCACTTTCCATTCAAACGTGGGGAATAAACAAGAGCCTTTTTGGAAACCAGATGTCAAGAAAGCTGTGTAATTACCCAGTGGCTCTCACTGTGTTTGGTGAGATCAGTCTTTAAGGTCAGGTCTGAAGCTATGCACCATGGTCTTCCGGTGCCTGGTCTATCACAGGAAACACAAGACCATTTGATTTTGTTTCTTATTCTTTAAAAATATATATTTTTTGAGATCAGAGAGGACTTTTAAAAATATATACTTTGATTGATTTCAGAGGAGAAAGACCATCTGCTTTTAACAAGTGTCAGTCTGCACAGTAAATGACAAACCAAGATTAACACCGTGATGCACTTAGGAGCCACAAACTGTGACAGGTAGACATGTACTTGGGGGCAGTCCAGCCAACAGAAACCTAACAGTGAGTCTCAAAAGTAAATTTATTTTTACTTTAGAAGTCATATATGCATATAAATATGCATTGGGAATTCAGGTGATATTCAATTAGTGCCTTATTATTCACAGTTTTAATGGAAAACATCAGGCCTCTGAGTCCCTTAAAGGCCAAAGAACACTTGGGAGATCATTTCACTTTATGCAAGCTGTAACTCACTCCCCCCCTCTCCCCCAAATATACACACACACACACACACACACACACACACACACACACACACACACACACTTTGGCAACTATAGAATTTCCAGGGCTAAATCTGGAGAGTCCCAAGAGAGGAAACATAATTAACAATGCTCCATATAAAACACGAGTTACGTGGACCATCACACTCTAATTACTCTCAGAACCCAATCTGATGTACTCGGCATCACGTTTCTTCCGGAGGGAAGCTCAGCAGCCTGCGCTACCTGAGCTCCCTGGCCTCCCACACTCCGCACGGCTGTCACTGCACCGACATGCTGCGGCGACAGATGAATCGGATGATGCAATCAGGAGGCAAGCTCGTCAGGTTACCTGCCCTCCGAATCCCTCCGTCACGTCACGGGCTTATTCCAGCCTGCCTGGTTTCCTGGCACTGCAGGCCAGGGCGGCCGAGGAGAGCAGCCCGCCATCAGCTCTGTGCTGCAATTGCCTCCTTGACCCACAAGGCCCGGAGAGGTCACATCCTGCCAGTGCCACAATAAATTACGCCAAATCACACCCTCTGGGACTTCCCTTTCACCACAGTGGAAGCTCTGAATCTGCACATCATCCGATAAATGCGTCTGTACATCACTGCCTTCCAGGCTGCCGCTCGGGGGAAGGCTGTTTAAGCTGCAGACTGGAGACGGAAGGCTGTACGCTGCGTGTTAGTGGGAGGGCCTCCCCCTCGGTCGCAGCAGTATCTGCGCAGGGAAGTGCTGCTCGGGCCTGAAGGCCACAGGTGAGAGGGGCACGGAGGCGCTTCAGAGACCCACAAGCACCCACGAAAGGCACAGATTCAAACCAAATCGGAAAGTTCACTGGAACTGGAACTTTTCTACAGAGAGAAGACAGGCAAATCTAATAAAGCACTTAAAAGCAAGGAAATGGCCACTGAACAAGGACCAGAGAAAATTAAATTAGAGCATGTTCATTTAAGTTAGAAATAGAGAGATTTCCTGGATAATAAAGGTAGTGCCTGGAATGGGATGCTGGGGGCTTCTGAAAGCCTTTGTTTATTTTGAATTTTATTGCAATTATTTTTATATAAGGCACATTTTTATTTCTCACCTTAACATGTAACTCTTTTGAATGGTGAAATCCCTTGAAAAAAACAATACCTCTGCACTATCTCAGGCTTTTTTTTTTTTTTTTTTAAAGTCAAAAAGCTTGTTTTCTTTTTCTTTTAAAACATTTTTATAAAGAATAGTTTACTGATTTTTTAAGAGAGAGGAGAGCCCTAGCTGTTTTGGCTCAGTGGACAGAGCAGTGGCCTGCAGACTGAAAGGTCCTGGGTTCCATTCCAGTCAAGGGCACATGCTGAGTTGTGGGCTTGATCCCTGTAGGGGGCGTGAAAGAGGCAGCCAATCAATGATTCTCTTTCATCAATGAGAATCTATCTCTCCCTCTTCTTTCTTTTCTGAAATCAATAAAAATACATTTTTAAAAAAGAGAGAGACAGAAATATCGATGTGAGAACAAATGGCTGCCTCCTGCATACTCCTTACCAGGAACTGAGCATGTGCTCTTGACCAGGAACTGAATTGGCAACCTCCTGGTGCACTGGACGCGGCCCAACCAAACAAGCTACACCAGCCAGGGTTCTCTCAGTCTTTATACCTAGCTTCCTTCCTTCTCTCCCTCTCCCCCCCTACCAATCCCCATCAAACAATATAAGTTTCCAAATCAGATGGGCTCGGTTTGGGCCACCTAACTTATGGATGAAAGCAGCATGGCTACTGATGACCATAACACTGTCCACAGCTACCTGAGAGGTGCAGGCACAGGAGCCAAGGACATTGGACAAAGCTGAGCAAAGACAAGGGCAATCACACCCACCCACCGGCGGGAAGGATGGGGGCCTAAAAGAAGCAATCAGGTATAGGAAGAAGGCAGCTGATTCAATTATGATTCCCTCATGCAGCCTCCGACTTGAAAGACAAAGAAAACAGGAAAGTTCAAATGTTTTAACAAAGAGAAAGTGCCTGAGAGACGGGCACTGCATGAACCTAGCTACCCTCAGACCGTGCCTTGCACAGGGCTTCTCGCCGCCCAGGTCCCAGCCTTCTGGAAGGGTGAACACTCTGCCCAGGTTCCTGGCCACCAGCCTGAGATGGGAACTCATGTCCCCATCCGCACAAAAGGAGTCGCGCTCTGCACTGTGTCTCCCCGCGACCAAAGCCAGTGAGAAAGCATGTTAGAGCTCCGGGGTCCTGGGAGCAGGGAGCTCCTTGTAGTTTCTGGACTGTTCCTTCAGGGCACAGTCTTCCCTCCACAGCCGCCTGCCCCGGGCCAGGTTCTGAGGACCGCCTGAGGCCCGAGAACAAGGCGGCCACTGTACGGACCAGGTTTCAAGCCTGGCAGGCCTATGCCAAAAGAAAACTTACAAAATTCTTAGTTGTTTTCATTGTTTAAACCATTTTCCTGGAGTTCTGTTTTATGTCTCTTGAGTATTTTATTTTTCCTCTAGTGAAGAGCTAAATGTTTATTTTTGAGTTTTTCATTGTTAATTGATTCCTCCTCTGGCTCTTAAAATCTTTATTTTTAAAACCTATTTTTCATGTTGAAATAAGAAATATTTAAAAAGTAGTTGTCTACATGTAAGGTCTTAGGAATATGCCATATAAGGTACAATAATCCAATAAATCCTGAATCTCTCCATATTTTTAAAATATGCTCTAAATACGCAGAAGAGATTCCTATGTTAGGTATTTTTAAAATAGACTGTAAATATATCAAATATATCAAAAGGTATCAATTGCTCTTTTGTTTAGGTAGGGTATATAAACAATGTACACACATACATTTTTTGATAGCTCAACTGATGTTTCTTTCTTTTCAGATTTAAACCATTGGAATCAATAATCAAGGTGCGTGCCCCGTATTTTCCCCCTTGCTCTGACTAAATGAAATAACTGATACTCAGCATCTTCTTTAAGGATTTTTCTCCTCATCAAAGTCAGGCACGTACCAGCAATGACTGTCTCATGAGGAATTCGGTCCTTGTCAGAGAAGTTCTCTCGCTGAAGATTAGCTTTTCAAAAAGGTGCAGCGTTGCTTTTTCAAGGCTGGGAAGGTGTCGCAGCCAAAGGCAGACGACTGCTGACTTGGGGAGAAGAATCTTCTTCCTTTCAGGAGGAAAGGAAATTTTAAATAGAAATGGGTTACAGAAAAAAGGAGATTAAGAGAGTTCAAAATGCAAAAATGAATCCAATCTGTGAGTCCTTTCCTCATAGCGGCAGCTAATACTTACAGTATCAATGATCACTGACCAAGTATGTGTTTACAAAATAATGTGAATGTGCTTCTGCTTCAACTTAAGAAACTAGGGAAATGCTCAAAGGGGGGAAAAAAAGCTTTCAAAAAGGATAAGCAAATGTATAGTGATGGAAGACAGAGTGAAAAAATGAGGTAGGCAGAGGCCTTAGGTATCTAGGTACATGCAGTCTCTAATTTAAAAATAGTTAAGCCTGAAAGTGGGTCTGACTCTCAGGGCTAACAGTATGACTTAGAGAACGTGACTTACCCTCTAAACCTCAGTTTATATTTCTATAAAATGGGCCTATTTCCCTCACAGTATCTTCAGAAGGATCAAATGCAGTAACAACACATGTACAGTGATTCACACAGTGCTTGACACCAAGTAAATATTCAGTAACTGTATCTGTAAATTGTTGCTTGAAAGTTAAAATGTATTTTTTCTTTAATAACAATTTCATAGATGGTGGTCATGACCTGTTTTAATCCATAGCTGATCCATAGCATGATGCTCTATCGGCTGCAACCATCTGTGCAGCGCAGTTTCTGATAGATCCCCCTCCCCCAACTGGTGGGCGGAGTATGAGGTAACCTGCACCTGCGGCCTGGACATACCTGAGCACCTCACCAGGCACCTTCTATGGACTACACATTGAACCACCCATCAGCACCTGCTAAATTCCCTAAGCCCTTGTTCCTATATGACCATACATTAAGTCACCCAGCAGCGCGTGCCGAGTCCACTAAGCCCCCATTCCTTCCCATCCTCCCCTCAAAAGGCGTGTTCCCCTCTGCACATGCTGCTGCTCTCCCCTGGCGAGACAGCCCGGCAGGTCCTTCTCTGATAAAGCCTGTGGTCCTGGTTTTCGCCCTCTGTCTGATCTTTCAGTTTCTATTGGAAAACGTTTTTGGAGGCTCCTCCCGTGTGTATGAGGGGTCCCGCTTTCCCTTCCGGGAAGAGCGTGAGGAGCCACTTGTCTAACTCTGAGCCACCGGCCTATTCGGGCCTGGCAGGCCTTCTCTGTCCTCCAGCCTGCTTTCCGAAGTCTCAGCCTTTCCCCAGCGGCACCACAGACAGCAGTGCTTTCCATGTTCTCCCAAGGATGTTTACTGTCTTTAATAAGCAAAACAGGATCGATCCAAGATGGCTGCACAGGTAAATACCTAGCTGCAGCCTCACACAACAATTTCAATAAAATACAACTAAAATATAAAATGGACATTACCCAGAACTACAGGAAAGTCGACTGACTGGAAATTCTACAACGAGAAGCAAGGAGAAAACCAGAAGGAAAAGCAGAGGAGCTGTAAAAGCCCAAGGTACAGAGACACGCGGCCCGCGTGGAGAGGACAGAGCCGGAGAGGAGGGGAGCTGAGTGCCTGGCTGGTGTTCCCTAGCGGGAAGGAGATAAAAGCTCCGACTGTGCTGGGCCCCAGTTCCAACTGCTCTGAACCCCAGTTCTAGGCCAGACCCCGGGGACCCAGGCTCATCCATAGGGAGCCGGGCTGTAAGGCGGAGCCCCGCGGGAGCGGCGAAAGGAGGTCTCCGAGGTGCACACATTGCGCGCAGAGAAGGGACGGTTGGCTGTGCCGCGGGATTGCCCTGGCGGGAAGGAGACTGGGGCTCCAGTCTGCTCTGATCGCCACCTCCAATCCCACTTCCAACTGAACTGAACCCCAGTTCCGGGCTCATTGGGGGAGAGCCTAGATTGTTTGGTAGCAGGCGAAAATCGAGGGCACCTTTCTCTCAGAGGCTCTTGCAACGAGTACTGAAGGACCCTGAGACCCAGGAACCGCATAGGGTGGGCATAGGGTGGGGCTGACAGAAGCCAAGGCTGTAGGCTCCACCCTGAAACTCTGCCCCATCAGGGAAGCTACGAAAAAGCAACAACGAAATAGAACACAAACGAAAGAAATGGAGGACAAAAAGCGACTGGATATAGAGTTCAAATCTACGCTTATAAGGTTTTTCAAGAATTTCCTAGAAAAGGTCGATAAGTCCTATGAGGATATGAAAAGGGATCAACTAGAATTAATAAGGAATCAACGAGAAATGATAAGGGATCAACAAGAAATAAAGAATACATTGTCTGAGATAAAAAACATTATACAGAGTCCTAAAAACAGAATGGAAGATCGCAAGAATCAAGTCAAAGATTTGGAACATAAAGAGCCAGAAGACACTCCTCCGCAGAAGCAAGAAGACAAGAGAATCCAGAAAATTGAAGATAATGTAAGAAACCTCTGGGACAACTTCAAACGATCCAACATCAGAATCATGGGGGTCCCAGAAGATGAGAGAGAGCAAGATATCAAAAACATACTGAAAGAAATAGTGACAGAAAACTTCCCCCACCTGGTGAAAGAATTAGACTTACAAGTCCAGGAAGCGCACAGAACTCCAAACAAAAGGAATCCAAAGAGGACCACACCAAGACAAATCATAATTAAAATTCCAAGAGCAAAAGAAAGAATATTAAAAGCAGCAAGAGCAAAACAGGTAGTTACCTATAAAGGAGCACCTATACGATTGTCAGCTGATTTCTCAACAGAAACCATGCAGGCCAGACGGGAATGGCAAGAAATATTCAAGGTGATGAATAGTAAGAACCTACAGCCAAAGATAATCTACCCAGCAAAGCTATCACTCAGAATCGAAGGCCAGATAAAGAGCTTCACTAATAAAAAAAAGCTAAAGGAGTTCATCACCACCAAACCAGAATTATATGAATTGCTGAAGGGGGTTCTTTCGGAAGAGAAAGTAAATAAAGATAAAAATTATGAACAACAAATACATAACTACCAACAAGTGAATCTAAAAACCAAGGAAATTAAAAAAAAATCTGATGAACAATATTAACTGGTGAATATAATAGAATCAGAGGTATGGAAGGGGAGTGAACTGACGATTCTTGGGGAAAAGGGGAGAGGGGGATGTGGGAAGAGACTGAGCACCTATGGATGAGGACAATGCGGGGTGGGGAAAGGGCAGAGGGTGGGATGGGAACGTGGTGGAGGAGAGCAATGGGGGGGGGGGGGAGGAAGGAACATTTGTAATAATATGAACAATAAAAATTTATTAAAAAAAAAATAAGCAAAACACATGCTGGGGCACAAGGTTCCCCACTACCCATCAACTCCTTTGGTGTCTTCCCTTCACCAACGCCTCTGGGCCACTTCTTTGCAGGAGCTGGTGTGGAGCCAGGGGATGGGTACAGGGCAGGAAAGGAAAGACAGGAAACACAGGGTGGCAATTTCTACTGCGTTTCCCCGAAAATAAGACCTAGCACACGGAAAGATAAGACATCCTCTGAAAATAAGACCTAGCGCAACTTTGGGAGAAAAAATTAATATAAGACACTGTCTTATTTTCGGGGAAACAGGGTACTAGTTTCTCCTTTTCTTCAGAAACTCTGTAGACCTTGTCTTGGATTAACTCTGGGGCAAGACTGGAAGTGGAAGTTCTGTAGGGTCTGTCACAGGGGCAGACAGAGGCAGGAGGAAGGGAGCCTGGAGGGATAGCCCTCGTCCGACCCTGCTGATATCACATTCTCATCCTGAGTGTCTCTCCCCGGGGAAGCCTGGCAGGAGCCCTTTCTCCCACCTCCCCACCCTCCCCCCAACCCTGCGCCACCTGGCATGTCTGGGCCACACCATGGATGTCCTCTGTGGTGGCGCCAGTGCTTCAGCTGCTACCGCCCACCCTGTTGTACTTTGTGGCAGGAGCTGGAGGTCATTCAGTCAAAGATGACTCAGCACTTCCGGTATGGAACTCAAGGGGCCAGGTGCAGGCCAAACAGGAAAACAAAACGGGAGGCATGCATGCTCACCCACGCCACACGGTAATGTGTGTGTGAGGCATCAGAGGGAAGTGCAGGCTCGGGGGACAGGTGGTCAGGGCCAAGTGAGGTGAAGAGCAGCGGGAAGAGCTTTCTAGCAGAGGAACAGCAGACACTGGGGCGCTGAGATGAGGAGCAAGGTCAGAGGAAGACAGAAGCCTCTGAGGGCAGAGGAGAGGTGACTGTGACACCGCTGTGCAGTCCCACAGGCCGAGGTTAGATTTTCGGGCCTTATTCTGTGATTATTCTGGCCCCAGACTTACACAAAGTGCCAGGGTACGGTGACATTCCAGGTCACTGAGTACAGGCCATCGACGGTGGAGGCCGCAGGCGCTGGTGGGGCTGGGACCAGGGGCAGTGGGAGTGGAGAGCACCTGAATGCACTTTACACCGAGAGAAACTGGCAATGCATTTGACGAGAGGTGGAGCAGGTGAGGGAGGAACACGGTGATCCCAGGTTTCCTGAGTAAGGAGATGGGTGGGCACTGTTTATTACCATAGAAAGAAGGGGCGGTAATGAGATTTGGGAAGGATGTGTGAATTTGGCACCTCAGAGGCATCATCCAACTGAGGTATGAAATAGGTTCTCAAATATCCAGGTTAGAAGTTCTGGGGAGAAGTCTGGGCTATTGTACATCAGGGAGCTGCCAGGTGAATAGAATGGCGAGAGAATGAATGGGAACTCCTTGGAGAGAGGCTGAGTGCGGGGCAGGGGGCCGGGCCTGTGCCCTGAGCATCACCAATGGGCACAGGAGGAAGAGGAGTGGCAGACAGGAGGAAGACAGGCAGGCAGAGAGCACACACAGAGGAAGAGGGCCGGCTGCCTGTGCCGAGCACCGCTGAGAGGCCTGCGGAGGGGAACAGCACTGCTCTGCGAGGCCTCCCTGGCCTCCCCGAGAACACTGAGCTGAGGAGCGATGGAGACGGAAGGTGGAGTCCATAGGAGAGGGAGTGGAAATGAGCAGAACTGCAGTCAGGAGGATGGCTGTGCAGGGAGCGCCACCAGAAAGTGGCATGGGGGGTGGGAGTGG